GTTACTATTATTGTTGTTTACACAGAGATATGAGTGTAAGTGAGCCCACTCTGCCCGGGAGTGTTTCTAGGGTTTGAAACCATCTGGGGCTCGTACACTTAAACATCTACAAGTACCATTTTCAAGCATTTTGATTTCACCATTGAGGATCTACACCAACCTTGATCTGTAATTAACAAATTATATTAACAAAGAGCGTGTGGAGTTGAGGAATAAGATAATTAGATAAGATGCTAATTAGTATCTTGTCTGTTGGCACACTTGCAGCCCTGTAGTCCTTAATTGCACATTCACTGGAGGGCCATGAGGCTGTAGGGTGTCCCATTCCACATTAGTTGTTCAAAGGGGTGTTCATGAAAGCCCTCTATGTGCCCTTAGTGCGACTGCGACAATGTGACAATTCCTTAAGATACAGGCAAGGTCCAATCAAAGTGGAGGGTTTTGTTTACTGCAGTCTGAACAACGTGATGATAAAAAAGATTTTCAAGTGTAAGCTAACTAAAGAGTCTCAGCTGTTCTGACATATACATTCCAAATATTAAGTGTCCCTAAAAACTAATCAAAATTCAGACAGTGATGTTCAAATTTGTCCGCACCCACATGCACACAGTGTGAGATGTCCTGCTGTCACTCTCTAGACAGCTTGTATTTTAACAAAAAAAAACATCCTTTCACAATACATACATCGATAGTCCAGCTGTATTTTATTTAGCTAATGTGGAAAAGAAAGTAAACTTTTGTGAATGTAAAATGTAAAAACATTACCAATTTCAAAACATCTACCCACCTAAACGGGTTGACAGAGGAGAATCAGGTACAACCTGGCCAGACCTTGTTAGTCAGCAAGCTAATTTAGTTAGTGTTATTTCTTCACATTTCTTTGCTAAGGTCAAATATAATTAATATTGTGCTTTTTATTTTTGCTAGATGTCCTTCTCTTTTTGAAACGGAGATTATTGTGTGGTATCAACTTTTGAAAGTGACTCCATCAATTTCTGCCACTTGAGCTGGATGCATCTACTCTCGCTGCTGTCCTGTATCGGTTGATGTTTAGTCTGCTGTCTATTTGCTATTGTCCAGATATTGTTGTTTGATATTGAAGTCCTTTCTGGGGCAGGAGCCATGGTATCTCTCTTGTGTGTATCTGTGAGTTTGTGTGTGTGTGAGTGAGCCACCCTGAAAGACCTTTTGGGATGCAAGTTACTGTTTTTGGATCATACTGCCCTTGAGTAACTGGGTGGGACATGGGGCACAGTAAAACATACTGCTCCACTTCTTGTAGCTTTACTTTGATTTTTTGACTGCTTTTGACTTTGATTTGAAATTAAACATTTGAAATTAATATATGATATTGATGTATTTGATGTGTAAATTGTATTAACCACTGCAGATAAGTAAAGTAGCTCATTTAAAAAAAAGTGTTATTGATAACCTAATCTCACAGGGTGTGGCGCATTCAGAGTCTACATGTCACACAAGTCTGTCCCAACTGCACACTTTTTCAGATACATTCAAACGTAGCACCCTCAAGGTCTCTTATAGGTCCACAAGTTGACATCACCAAAGTGTAGACGTGCAGGCGGGTCGCAGCTTAGGGAACCTTCTAAGACAGACCTGCCTCTCTCACTGACCAACTCTTCTTTCCTGTTGTCATCACATCTCTTTTCTGTCCCTTCTCTATTATCATGTATAGTTGTTGTTAGTTAGCTTTCTTGGGAAATGAAAACAGTTCCTATTTCCAAGAATATCAGGAGGTATGTTTGTGTAGAGAGATGAAGACATAGTGTACAACCTGTCCCAGCCCTGGACCAGCCCACTACAACCACAGTGACCTCCCCCAAAATCATGACCATCCCCCAGCTAGCTGGTTAATTAGCCAGTATGTGATAGTACATTAACATTAAGCTAGCCATCTGTAGCCTTAGTGTACAAGCAGACTGGTTCCTTACTCTGGTCTCCAAACAAATTGTATATTTAATTTCGTAGTGTTTTGTATAAGTAACTTCCTGGATTTTATTTTATCACACACCTCCCTCCCCTGGAGGTTTTATTCGTATATCTTTAGCTAGCATTTACAGTTTAACTTTCCCAGTTATTATCATTATACTTTGTTCCATGGGGAGTTGTGGGAAGTAATGATTATCAGCATTTCAGTTGTTGCTTTCCAGTAGCTATGTGGGGACTTCACCAGTCTATGAAAACAACAAGAATTGAATTTCCAGCCTGGGCAGTTCCAGACAGAAAAGGAAATCAGGGCTGGCTCAAATTATTCGGGGCTCAAGCCCTGTATAATAGTCTTTACCGTTGTCCCTAGATCCCACCCTTTCCCCCCGCCATCCCAACCATTTCTACTTCATCCTGTCTTCCTCTCTTTTAAATTCATCCTTTCCTTATTCATCCCACCCTGTCCTGAGCATCCCATTCCACTGTGATTCTCCTAGTCTCTCCTATTCTCCTTATCTGTTGCCATTTCACCCAACCATGCCTATATTACCATGGCAACACCCTTTCATCTCCACCTTAAGTGTCGCTTCGTGTGCCACTTTGCTGGCAACTGTTTACTTACTGTGTGCCTTTATTATCGTTGGCCTTCTCTGGGGGCTTGAATGGATGGGCAGATTGATAACTCAGCAGCTATCCATATTGTCAGTAATCGTATCTAAATGCCCCAGCCAAGAAAATTTCCCTTCAAATGTTTAATATGTAGTTAGCTTCTAACAGCCAAGCCTTGCATGTCTTCCTGTCTCTGGAAACTGTAGTCAGTCAACTCCTTACCCAGCATGTCCCCATATAAACATCCTGACTACAATCTGGTGTGAACTAGAGGAGGATGGGTTCCCATTTTGACTGTTGATTCCTCTTAAGGTTTCTTCCTCCTGCCATTAGAGAGTTTTTCCTTGCTGTTACTGCCTTCAGCCTACTGTTTAACAACAACAACAAAACAACAACAATAATAATAGTAATAATGATAATAATTTAGTTTAATATTAACAATATTTTAATAATATAATAAGCATTATTAGAGATGTGGCTGAAAGTATTGCTTTTTTAACCTTAAAACTTCAAAACTTAATTAACCTTAAAATTAAAAGGTATTTTGTCATCCATATGTTCATGTCTTTAGGTTGGTTGACCATCATACCTGTATCCTTATATGCTCAGGTACCATTTCAGAACAGATTTAAATTTAAAACCTGCAACTGAATATTTCTAAAGCCCTAAATAACCTGTTAGCTGGTAGCTATTAGCCTGGTAGCAGGTCAGCCTACTTTAATGTCATATTTTGTTCATGAAATAAATGAAGTCCAATGCTTGTGAAACATAGCATATTATAAATAATTTTGTAGGCAGTACAACTGATTAACTAAGGAAGCTCACACATTCACTATGAACATTTCAGTTAGTAGAAAACTGATAATGACAAGTGTCTTGCTAGAACACAACCCTTATTGTTGGTAGGTTTATTTTGTTGAATATTTGTCAAATCCAAAAAAAAGCCAATTTCAATGTGGAAAATGTCCATTAGAATTTCTAAAGCTACTTCTGCTGTGGCTTAATGTATATACCAGACCAATTTTTTACTATCATAATCAGAAAACAAAGACTATCAAACAGAGGAAAAAACATGTAATTACAGAGCATTTAGCAAATAAACAATTTATTTTGGCTTCTAGTTTATTTTGGCCTCTAGCATAAAGCAGAAGCCACCAAGAGTTCTCTCCACTTCTCTCCATGTCGTACAGCCTCAGATATGTTTGAATACCTCTGGACAAGTGACATGTTTTGTTGATTTTCTAAGTGAAAATAAAAAACATCTACAGAGAACTTAAATGTGGTGTTTTCTGCACATTTTAGTGCACAGTTTTGAGTTTAACACATTGGAGAAAAAATGCTAAAGAGAATATGAAATGTGCCATAACTTTTGCACAGACCACATTTTATGTTTCAGTTTTTTCCAATATGTTCAATTCAGCAAATAATCAGTTACTGTGCATTAAAATGTGCAGAAGTGTGTTCTCTGTAGAGGATGTGTTATCTTCACTTGAAAAATCAGCAGAAAATGTCATTTGACCAGGTGCACCCAAACTTTTGCATATGGCTGTATGTCAGAGGTGTCGTCTGAACTTGCAAACATTAGTTTAGTATTGGTATAAGTTACACAGACTATCAAGTATCAAGGAGCACTTGAAACTATTGGCCTGTAGTTGAAAAGCCTTATTCTTGCTAGCTAACCGTATTAGCTAACATTAGCTTAAATTGCCAGCTAGCTGAGCAGCTAACTTAACCTTTTAAGGTTCTCACCAAGAAAAAAACAAGTTATTTCTTTGCATTTCGTTGTTCCTTAGGGCAATAACTTATAAAGCTCCATAGATTGTTTTTTTTGTTATGAGCTTCTGCCAAACAGACTGAGATATCCATTAATGGTAAACGTATATTTTCAACAATCTACACATGATTTGTATCATTTAAATTGAAAGATAATATTTTGCTTTCTTACAAATTGTCACTGTCCGAAGAAAAACAAGTATCTCCAAAGTAGGGACTTTAAAGGAGAAAACAGAAACTTGCTTAGTTTGCAATGCAAGTTACTATAAAGAGGTTTTTATTTCAAGTCACTTTGGAAAATTTCTCCATTCAGTTCGTTCATCATCAAATTTTCACACAAGGTAAAGGGCCACGGATTTTTTTTTAGACAGTGACGATGTCTTTCTTATATACAGTGTTGTGCCAAAAGGATTTTCATCGCTTCTTTGTATTAATTGCCAGTTCTTCTTGCTACCAGATTCACTGTTCAGTATAAGCACTATAATTAGAGTAGTATCAGTCTGTTGAAAAGTATGTTTGTGATCTGTGTAGCTTAGCACAATGTCTTTGTCAACCAAGAGCAAGTGCAGTCTTTGAGTAAAGAAATGGAGAGACTCAACCAAGTGCAATATCATCACTACCAGGCCAAACAAGGTGAACTTTCTAAACCCATATCACAACTTTCATTTCCCACTCTAGAATCCTACATGCAGAGATGCAGGAAGTTACAAATGCAACACAATTCTTAGAGGTTTTGGTGGATTCTACTGATTAGCTTTGGCTAAAGTAACCTTCAAATAAGGTTTTTGCCATTATCTTCATACTAACATTTAAGTTTGGATGCATGTTATTTGTTTTTATTTGAACCATGATGGTGTTTGAAAATGCATCTACAATATGTTCTCAACAATTGCATGACACACATGGAAAAGTTGAATCATATTACCTCTGTACAAGTGCAGCATTTATTTTATGATGAGTTGCACTTTTTGACAAGTCGAGGACCAAAATTAGACAGCAAATTTGTTCAGTGTTCTTCATAAAGAGTTTGGTCTAACAGTGGAATAGCTCACCCAATTCTCAGGACATTTTAATATACTCTACATAGATGTTGAAGGCTACAGATAATATGTTCATAGTGTTAAAAGTTGACCAAAGTTATAATATTGTCCATAAAATCATTGTTCATTCAGTTAGAGTGGCCATTGGTTAGCCACTCTAACTCACTATTGGTTGAGTCATTCAAATTGGAATGCCAAAAACATTCATGGGATAGAAATGCTGTTTCCAACCATCTCTGTTTTATCCTTGCATGTGAAAGGCTCATTTGTTGATGTGCCACAACAGTCACTAAATTACTGATGCTAATGCATCAGTTCCTAAATTCTGACAAAGGTCAACAACTGTAATTTGACAAACTAGGGTTGGTACAACAGCACCGTGCACACTTCGTTACAAAGAATATAACCAACAGTGAGCATGACTATGACAAGTTACAATAATATTTAATACTTTATATATGATACTGTTGTTCATGGAAATCAACATTTAATTTAAGCTAGTAAGCATCAGCATTGTACTACTTGGAATCACAGCATAACTGGCAACAAACTGTTTGACACGGTCTCTAAAAGAACAACTTGATAATAACTGCATATGTATCTACTGAATATAGTGATTGCCTCTGTTGTAGTATTATTTTTGTATTAATTATGCTTATACTTCTATGTCTGGAAAAATTCAGTACATAGCATGTGAATTATCAGCAGATTCCTTTTGCCTTCAGCTCCTCTTGCACACGATTCAGGTAGTCAGGATCTGGGTAACCGTAGCTAGTAAATGAGAAAGGAAGACCAACTTTTTAGAACTTAAAGTATGTTGAGTACAGATGATGTAAATAACATACATAATTTACAAAACTTTAACTTTACCATTAAATATCAAAACTACTCCTGTGTGTAAACTTACGCAGTAGGCCCACCAAAACGGGATGTTTTGTGATGAATGTCATTCCAGGTAACCACGTTGCTCCTGCCAGTGGTAGATGAACTCCCTATGGTGAAGATTAGCCTTTGCTCAAAGGCTCGTGTAAGGAGCTTAAGAACTTTCCTTCCCTCTGAGGAGTCTGGCAGGTAGGCTGTGCGTGATGCACCCTCATATGGCTGGCCTGGATTTGGGTGCTCCTCCTACACCAGTAAAAGTAAATGAGATGATCTGTCCATTTCCTAAGCTACCACTATCACTGGACTACTAAAACCATGGAGATGGTCTAATGCTAATGCTTACCTTCCATGTCATGAGTCAAACCAAAGAGTATTAAATAGTATTACACCATATGTACATATAAAGCCCAGAACACAAAGACCCAACATTCTCCAACCAACATTAACAAACCAAAAAGCTGGGTTTGTATATAACATATACGAATAATGTGTGATTGCTGGTAGTGTCTAGAATGTTCTCCCCATTCAAATTTTTTGAGAACTTTCTCCTCCATCCACACTGGTTCATTTAGCTTGTCATTCTTATTGTGGAACAGTATAAAGCCACAGTTCCACTAGAAATCTGCAGTTTGTGTCATCTTGTGAAATATTTGTGACTGAGGCAGTACCAGAAGACTGGCGATGAATAAGATCCTCTATTTTGGTGCAGTTCACCAACCATTCGTAGTAAAAATGCAAAAAATTAACAAAACTATACAAGATAATTACTCTTGAGAACGTACTGCTGTACACTGAGTTGTAGCAAAATATAAAATAATACTGATAACTGCCGTGGTTGGTAGCAGTGGCACAATTTGTATGTGAAGTAGTGCTTAGCCAAGCAGCTAACCTAGCAAGTTAGCTAACTTGGTTTAATCCAACTAGTTCCCCAAAGTTGAACTCAAAGCAAAATTCACACAAGATTTTTTTGTTCTGTCATAAAACTGTAGTGAATTCCACAGAAATAAACATACTTTTAGTCTGCGTGACTGGGCTGACTGGCAACATTTGGTCAGTGTGCTCTGGGTTTTAAAGAGAAATGAAATCTGCAAATAACTTAATCCCATTGTTTTATGAACTACAAAAAAGAACAACACAACCACAGTCCATCATTTGCCAAGGTACTATAGGACATGTTAATGTAAAATTATTTACTATAGCACACTCACCTTCTGTATCCCACTCGGAATGGAATAACGAATGACAATTGTTCTGTAGCTTTCATAACCTGGCAAGGAAGAGGAGTCTTGTGTGGTCTGCATTTTGCCTCCTTCAGGTTGGGTGCCTTTCAGTGCACCATATAATACTCCACATGTGGGACAAACTGGTTTAATTTCGAAAGCTCTCTTCAAACATTCTCTACAGAATGAGTGCTTACATTTCTCCAGAGTCTTACTTTTGGACTTAACCAATGGTTCCAAACAAATACAGCAAATTTCATCTTTGTCATTCGGTTGGTTTTGTGGGCTGGATGCTGTGGCATGGGTGTTGTCCATGTGACTGATTTGTTTTGGAGGAGATCTTTTAGGAGGACTGCGTAAAAACCGTTCAAACCTTTCGAGGGTCAGGTAGCTCCCAGTCAGTTCAACTCCATAGTTTTTGTGGCTCACTAGCAGCTCTGGAAAATGTTTGAGCAAAAGTTGCGTTTCACTTGCATTCAAATCATAAAGTCGGGTTTGCAGACCTGTGGCAATCTTCTGATAGAACGTTATAAAGCGCTCTCTGACAAACTGAACTTGGTCTGTCCTCAGTTTTTTATCCCTTGCATGAAACATCAGATGCCTTCCTTGCACTGGCATGTCAACTCCCATCTGTCTCATTTTGTCAAGTTCCAAAGAATGTTTTTTGTTGATGTAATGCATGACAGCAGCATCAACCACAACTGGTTCTGCAGGTGGACTGGGGCTAGATTTCATTTCTGGCGAGGTGTTGTGATTCACATGGCTTCTCTGTTTATGTCCTACATTTTGAGGTTTTTTCTTCTCCAACCTTGACAAATTCATGAAAGTTTCCTCAATTTTTTGAAAAGGTCCTATGATGAAACATGACCCTCTGACATTTTCACCCATCTTTTTAAGTTCTTGAAACATTTTCTGTGGCTCCGCAAACGTTTCTGGATCAATGACAAGCTTCACATCATCGAAAATCTGAAATTGGAGAGCAGTGACGTTGAAAAACTGCAGAATCATCTACGGTGGACATGGGCCCAGTGACTGAAAATTAACTGAGGTGCCTAGTGATTTTGAGCCACATCAGAACAGGGATGGTTTACTGGCCAAACCTCAGCAATTAGTAATAGTTAATAATTAGCATTTTCATTTTCATTAAGAGTCACTAAGAAGCAGGGCTGAACGATTTGGGCAAAATATCTAATGGCAATTCTTCTGAACAATACTGTGATTTAAATTTGCTATTATTTTTCTATAAACTGAGGTCCAGGTCCCTATTTTTTAGGCCAAGAAGACTACTGTATCCACTTTTCTGGCTTGAGACTTTAAGGTAGCCAGTTAACACTCCAGTTAATTATGGCTGTGTTCAGGTATACAGCACATTGGTGTTTGGTTGATCCTAGGTGGTCTAACTCATTTACAGCTGTGTTATTAAGTGAAATTTCCTCAAAATGTACTTGGGAAAAACTGAAGACGTTAGCTGTTTGGACACGTTTGCTTCTTGGCTTTTTCAAGAAGGTACATAATGAAAGTAAACTAGCAAAGGACGAATTTGTGCAATAGAAGCCAATGAGTTAGCTGGTGTATCAATGTGGATGGATATGCTATATTTAACAGGCTCTAACACTTACAGTCGAGGTCCAAGATGAGGCCAGTCAGACTCACCTCTGGTATCTGTGATCCCGCCATCATGTATCGCGTTGCCAGGCAGAGCAAACGTACACAAACAACCTCACAACCACCACAGGATCCTACAAGAGCTGCTAAAGTCAGAACGAAGAGCCCAGAGTAGACTCTGCATGCGTTACCTTAATGAGTAAATGCTTCACAGACGTGCTTAAGTTACTTTTTAACAAAGTAAAACATTGCGAGGCTACACGCAGTGAGCCGTTCACAAGACTTTAGTTTCGCTTTTGCTGAACTAGGAAGAGCAGAACCGGAATACAGGCGGTGTTCGCGCCTTTCAAACGGAAGGGGCGCTGTCGGCACATTAAAGGGCCCATAACAATTTTAAATGATTTTTTTTTTCATATTTTTAATAATAATATAATAATATATATATATATATATATATATATATATATATATATATATATATATATATATATATATACATTTATTTTTTTCTTTCTAAAATAATCAACTGCAAAAATCTGGAGAGCACAGTGGATATGTTTTTAAGTGACTGACTGAAGAAGTGTTTTAGGGTGTGAGCTGTGAACTGTTTTTATTATTATTAAAGAGCCTGTGTCATGAAACGCCAAATTCCCCTCACTTTTTAGAAATTAGAGTTAAAAGTAGTATCGAAACATCAAAGGTTCAAAACACAACAGTTCCCACGTTTGTACAGTCCATATATAGATGTATTTTCAATTAATTGTTTTTGTGATCTCATGAAAATCCAGATCATTCACATATTTCTGTCTGTTCCACCAACACCAGTTTGTTCCCCATTAAAGTCCATTTTCACCATTTGTGTGGATGATATACCAAAAACCATCTTAATTCATTATTTACATGACCAACCTCTTTGCATCCCTTAGAATTAATTAGACTGTTTTTGTTACTGTGCCTTTAAAACTGATAAACGTTTATGTGCTTGTTCTGATTGGCTGCCCTGTATTATGCCTCATTCAAAAAGCAGTTCAGGCTGATATACTCCTCATAACTTCCACATTAATGGGTGGGGCTAAACTGATGTTGGTGGAACAAGTGTAAATATGTACATGATTTGTTTTTTAATGACATCACAAAAACAATGTATTCAAAATGGGCTGGTTTTGCAGCTTTGTGTCTATATCTGGACTGGGGAGTGAACAGTATGTTTTGAAATTTTAATGCTTCCATACTACATCAAACTTATTTCTGAAAAGCAAGGAAATTTTGGTTTTCCATGATATAGGCCCTTTAATAATAATGATGATAAAAATAGCTCACACCCTAAAACACTGCATTTAAAACACTTACTGTGCTCGTGCAGTTTGCAAGATTTTTGCAGTCCATTATTTTATAGCTATTTCAACATTGACTCCTAACTTAATCCATTCTAAAGACGATGCCAAACTTTGGATCTAAGCAAAGACTGGGAGAGTAATACCAACCAATGCAAGTCTGAGTTATTTCATCAGTTTGTATGATGGTTCATTGTCTATAAGTGTGTTACCCTTTGCAGATGCAGGGCAGCAAGGATCATCGTAACAGCTGCTGACCACTGTGTTAGACCCATTGTTTTGGTTCGTTTGGTTTGGTTTTTGAAGAACATTTGAATATTCTGACTGAGTGCAGGGCAGCATACAAACTAAAATAAGGTGATCTAAATGTATTATCATACTAAACTAACACCACCACTGAATGAGAGCATGGCTGGGTAATGTGAGGATTTAGCTGCTTTAACTTTACAGTGAAGCCAGTCGCTTTGTGTTGTTGGAGAAAAGTGTTCTGTCGTGGTAATTTCTAGGTACAAACAATACCCTCAAAGATACAATATAGTTCCTAATGTCCAATTTGTACCTTAAGAAAGTTTTAAAGGTACACTATGTTCACTTTCCCAGGGGTAAGGGGCAGATTTGTAGCTTTTCATACAAATGTAGAAAAACGCCTCAAGTTAAGACAGAGTGTATGGAGTCAGTAACTTAACCACAGTGCAATATGGTACAGTTTTGTTTCTTAATGTTAGATACTGAAGATGTACAGAGGGTGCCACCCCAGTTACAGCGTTTGTACACTAAAAGGTGCAGTTTTGTCTGAGACTGTGGGAGCATATAACACTATATAAAGCTACTGAACCACTTAACATCATTTTAAAGTTAATCCAACATTTTGAGTGTGTGGTACCTTTTTGACATGTCGCCCACATAGTGGAATTTATACATGTATAGTTCTCAACATGAGAAATCTTATAGGTCAGTGATTTGTTTGCTGTATACAATTATTCTTGTTTTATAATGCTGGAACTTCTGTTCATTACAAGACAGCAGGGGCCGTATTACAGAAACTTTTTCACAAATTTGTAGTGACGTTACAGAAGCAAATCTTATCTTACAGCATCTTATCTCAAGTTAGGAAATCTTACCTTGCTCGATCACAGTCAACAATCAACTGTCATGTCTGTTACCTAGCAACTGACCATACGCACACAGCTGAAACGTAAACACATAATGAAAATAATCAAGTTAGTTAGCCAGACAGCTAACGTTAGCTATCGTTACTAAAGTGAAAAAGGTCAAACAAAACTAAAGCGTGATAAACGTGAAGTTAAGAATATTGTGTCAGCGCTTCATGCTGATTATCAGAGCATCACTGCTCTGCAGTTTCAGTTTCCTAAAGGCTTTAGCCAACCGCGTTAACATTATTTCTAATAAACACACTTTCAGCTCTGTCTCGTAATTATTCATCAACAACACTGTAATATTTTATCTGACCAGTTTTCAACATTAACACACAAAGGTAATCAGAGGGGAGGGTGGAGATTGTGTCTGCAGTGTCTGAGATTTTGAAAACGCTATTAGAAAAAACTGTTTTCAATGTAGATAAATTTTGTCAGGTTGGGATGATTCTGTAATACTGTTTTCTTATCTCGAGATAGGATTTAAGATTATGAACTTAAGAACTGTTGTTCCGTAATAGCTTCTCTCCTAAAGTCAGTCCTAACTAGAGTCGTCATGGTAACTAAACAGATTTCAGACTTAAGAAATTTCTTTAATATGGGCCCAGATCTATAACTGCCTAAATGACACCAAGCACAGTACAATTCTCAGTGATTGCATAAATCTGCTATTTTTCACATTTTTCAACTGTTTCTAAACTTATATTTGTTTGACATTTCCTAATGTTTTTCTTAAGCTCTTTCTCAATTTGTGAGATTTTATGCAATTTTGATGCATTTCAACCATAGAACAAATGTGTCCTTTTTGGCCAAGATGTTTCCAGTCCACTTCGTGCCTTGCTCCTTTGCAGAGAGGTGAAAAAATGCCAAAGCACAGGGGCAGCAGCTAGTAAGAATTAGAACATACTCACACACTGAAAACATACTTGTATGGCCCTCTCTTTAAAAGAAAGACTTGAGTATATATCTGGTGGCTGTGTCTGTTGTAGTTTGTATTAGCAGTAACATGTACAAAAGTTCAGTGCACAGTGTATGCAAATATTTCAGTTAGTCAAGATCTGGATATCTTGCCACTGAGGTTCCACCTCACTACACCACCTGTGAATTCCTAGTTTTAAACCACAAGACTTACCACAGTGCTCCAGGGTGATGTTCACGTGCTGAAATGAAGAGAGCTTTTCTGTTAATATTCCACTGAGTCCCCAGTTTCCCCTAAAATCCTTAGATCGTCTAGAGCTCATGTTAAACATGTCATCTTGTACAAAAACACAAACAACAGATGTTTATATTGATCAAAATGCATGGCATCCAGTGATATGTAATCCCAGGCCTTCAATAACATTAGCGGCAATAAAAAAACATGTTTTAAAAATGTGCTAGGTATTAGGAAGTTAAAGAGGAATGCCACAATTTTTTTTCTGTAATTTTTGTATAATTGTTGAGATGTAAACAATTGTCATATGTTTGGAGTGGTTTGATGTGAAATGCTTCATTCTGGAGAAACCTACTGAGTCAGAGTCCTTTACAATGGTGCTGATAGGAACCAGGGGTCACACTGTCTACACCACAAAAATAGCCATTTTATATTCTATTTATTTCTTTATTCAAAATGACCAGTGAACCAGTATATATCTTCTGAGTTTTATATATGTAATATATAATTGATAATGGTAAAACAGTGGTAAATCTTTAAAAGAAAAAAAATATCCTTTGGAGACTATTTTGTTTCACAACACCCTGCACATACGTCTCCAACATGAATGGACTGAAAAAAAAATGTTTTAGGCTTTAGGCAGTGTATTTGTACTGATTTCATGTAGTAGCTTTCTGTGATGGAGCTTTTAGATGCATTAAATACGAACATCTGGTTCCTATCACCACCACTGTAAACAGTTTGAAAAAAGTTTCTCCAGAACAGAGCATTTCACATCAAACCACTCTGGATGACTTTGTTTACGTCTTAACCATTTAGTTATGCAAACATTTAGAAAAATGTATGGAATTCCCCTTTAAGGTCTTTAGGCCAGTTTTGCTAGTTTTTCAGGGCTGGAGTCCAGCAAAGTTTGGTGATTTTCCTTCACAAACAGACCTGATCCCTAATCTTCTGTCCCCAGTCTTTAAGGCCTAATAGGGAGGTGCAATTACACTTTTCTGTAAAGTATAAAAGATGTGACAAATGTTTGGGATTTATAGGCAAGTTCAAATTTAATGAACATAAACAGGTACATAAGCTACTATTTCCATAACTTGTAAAAAGCCCAAAAGCTTCATCTGTTCGCAAAATAAAGAAAAAGTAAAAACTGAATACAGAAAATATTTGGACTCCGTGTTGTCCTGGCAGTATTTACACTATGTACAGTGTTGTTGTATATTTGCCAATAATCCTTTGTAAGGCACCAAATGCTAAGTGGCATGATACGTGTCACTACAATATACAAAACCATACAAACATTTACACTCATCACAGTTAACTTAAATATTATATTTACTATTTAAAGTAATCCAATATTACTTGTGTGAGAATAATTGCTTCTGAACGGTTGAGCATTGATTCTTTGCTTAAAGGGGCACTCCAGCATAAAAATAGAGTTTCATGTTATTTGTTGTGTAATGCATTATTCTGTAAGCAGCTTTATATCCCTCTGCCTCATCTGTTTGACAATTTTTATATAATTTCAGTGTTTTCTCACTACAATGCCCAGCATGCATTACGCAAATACATCATGCAACCACTGGGAATCTTTGTGCTGTCCACCAATCCTGACTGCTACAACCAAGCTAGCTTTCTCTTATCTCAGTCATCAGAATCTT